CTACTGTAAAAGATTTATAAATACAAAAAAAGTCACAAAAAACAAAAGTCTTAACCAAATATTTCTACTCGAGATGAAGATTTTTTTTATATAAGAATGGTTAAAAGAGGTCAAAGTTTGTGGAAGTTTTTTTTCTGCAAATAATGCACAGAAGAAAGTATTAGCAAGATACAACAGTGTGATGCTCACATATTCAGCCTCTGACCAGAAGGTGTACGTGTGTGGCAACAGGCACACTGTAACACTGTGTTTCTCTATTATTCCTTTTCATATCAAATTTCAATCAACAAGTAATCAGTCTGAGCATGCCAACATCAGCACTAATAAAGAAATGCATGAAAGAGAAAGCAATAAAGCTGATAATGTGAGCTTGATTTATGGCGGTTTACAGCACTAAATATTAACTGTCCCGTCTGTAACCGGACAGATCAGAGTCAAAGTCCTGTGTGGGAGAAAACATTATCTGTAAGATCAAACACTGAACTTTATTGTCACAAAAAAAATAATAATTTGGCTGGAAGTGCAGGTAATTCTGCACATGATGGAACTCAGGGCAAACTCCAGCATAGTGTTTAGCTCAGTCATTACTGATAGTGCTAAATAAGTAAATAATGTTAGATTGGTTCCCATCTTGTGCTCATTTTGTATTTCAACAACCTGATGATGGTCCAGCTCCTTCTTGTTTAAACATGTGAATAAGCTTTTACAATAGTCCAAACAAAAAGAAACAAAAGCGTGAATGATTTCAAGTTCAATTTTTGACAAAAACGTCTCTGTTTGGAGATGTTGCTGAGATGAAAGTGACAGTTTTTAGTTAGTTGTTTTGCGTGTTGTTTTAGAGACATCACAGAATCAAAAATGACACCAAAGTTTCTGAGGTAAACTGAACAGACAGACCTAAAACACAAATAAGATGTTTAAGTTGATGAATCTTAGGCTACGTTCACACTGCAGGCAAATCCGACCCAAATCCGATTTTTTTGACCCATCTGACTCATATCCGATTTTTTTATGACAGTCTGAACGCGACAAATCCGATTTTTTCAAATCCGACCCAGGCCGTTTCAGTATGTGGTTTTAAATCGGATATATATCTGATGTTTTCAAAGTGACTGCAGTGTGAACGCTCATGTCACATTCATCTGACTTTTTCATCAATGAGGAGGGGGTGAAGGATCGATAAGACACTAACCTCAAGTCTCGCTGTTTAAATCTGCAGCTCCGTGTGTTTACAGCTCCAAAACACAAGTCCAGTTGTTTCATCTTTTTACTTTTCATTTTCCACGTAGATAGTTTGATAATAACATGTCCAGCCTGGGTCGCGGAGAGTATCGATCCTAAAGTTCGATACTTGGCCGATACTTTTTTCCAGCTCGTAGTTTCGTTCAAAAAAAAAAAAAAAGCTTCACTGGAGCATCCCGGTCAGAGGCAGCTTCAGATATAAACACTGACTAAACAAGATGTCAGATAATTATTTAATCGGGTCTGATTAAACAACAACTTCTGATTCGATGCGCAAAATGTAGCATCCATGCTAGCTCTGTAAACAAACAAGCCGGCTGATGAGACGTCACGTCGTTTACTGCGCATGCGTGTCACATCAGTGCTGTGTAGCGTTCACACAGGGGTCTGATRCAGGTCACATTTAAAATGTAATGTGAACGTTCACACAAAAAGATYRGATTTTTTCAAAAAATCGGAACTGAGCATTAAGACCTGCAGTGTGAACGTAGCCTTATTCAGGGTCAATAATGAGAGTTTCAGTCTTATTAGAGTTCAATTGCAAGAGGTTGTCACTTAACCACAGTTTGTTAAAGTCTTTAATTAATCAAACCCACCCTGAATGTATTTTGACATTGGGAGGAAACCAGAGTACCTGGGGAAAACCAATATTGGCACTGGACCCAGATAAGATTGGAATCCAGGACTTTCCTGCTGAGAGAAACAGTACTAACTATTCTGCCCTGGAGCAATTCATCTTTTTAAAATATTGTTTGGAATTAAAGTATCCAAATAACAAAACTACTGTATACCAGATGTTAACCTGATCTAGTCAGTAGGTTTTAGTAAGATATTGTTTATGAGAAACTTGAATTATTAAGCTGTTTTTAATTGTTACTAAGAAGCTGAATTAAATCCCCTTTGTACAGCTGATGCAGGTCATCACCTCATATCCTCGGAGAATCCCGGTGACACTGAGCTGTTGGACAGGCTCCCATGACACTTGGATCTCAAAAGCAGACAGTGCTGTGGCGTTGATGCTTGAGGGTCCCACTGTTGGCTCTGTGAGAAGAATGTGCAACAGACTGATGACATGATACCGCACAAACTTCATCATGCTTCATCATATACCATGTCAAATGACATGATACCACACAAACTTCACCATATACCATGTCTAATGACATACCAAATAAACCATCATATACAACGTCTAATGACGTGATACCAAACAAACTTCATCATATACCATGTCTGGTGATATGATAGCAAATAAACTTCATCATATACCATGTCTGATGGCATGAAACCAAACAATCTTTATCCTATACCATGTCTGATGACATGATACCAATATAACAACATGACAGCCAAGTTCATTTGAGCATCAGGGAATCTCTCACTGTAGTCAGAAAGGTGTGGCTTCCCTCTAGTGGAGACAGCAAATAAAGCTTTTTAGGACACTTTCAGGCTTTTTCTAACAACTCTTACATAAGCACTATACATTAGATTGACTGTAAGGCAGATGAAGTGTCTGGAAGTTACCAAAGTTATATTTCTGAAAACGTGTTCATCTGACATCCTAACAATGCCTGGGACACAGGTCACATTTTCAAAAATGTTCTGCAAAATAGCTCATAAAATCTCTGAAGTGTAGGGTTATCTTCAAACCCAGCAGCTGTCCAAGTCATTGGGCAAAAAAACTAAACCTCCTATTGCCCCAGTGTGTACTTTTGTTACTTAGTGTGACATTTTTTTTTTTTTTGTTGCATTCTTATTTTTGTCTCAATGTTAGTTTAGTTCTATTTCAATCCTCCTGACCACCAGAGGGTGGTGCTGAAACACTGAATTTTCCCTTCACGCATTCACCCATTTGGATAACAAAAGTCAACAAAATCACTCAGCTGTGTGACCCATCAGATGATCAACCAGAACCAATACAGGCTGTTGTTATCCGAGGCTCTCTTCCATTTTCTTCTCACATATGGTTTGTTTGCATCAGCCTTTCAAACATTTGGATTGCTTTACTGTCATTAGACGCCCGATTGGAGTAGCAACGTACTACAATGAGTGAACTGTGTGAAGGCAATTTTGTTGTTTGCTGGTGAAGAGAGCATCTTTGCCTCTGCTCCCATCTTCTTTCCACAGTGCTTTGACTGACCCTCACTCTTATCATCTCAGAATGCAGCTAGTGGGTAAGGTGATAGCCCCATGCAGAACATCATGCATATGGCCTTGGAGGAGTTGCAGTTTGACGTCCCACAGAGGGAGGAGTCCACTCCCAGGAATGCGTTTATCAGGCACTGACGAGTTTCTATTTCCTTTTCTGTTCCTCCTTCAGAGAATTACCCAAAGGAGTTACATGTTCATTGGTGGGACCCAAAAGCCTTTTCATGCCTCTCTGCAGACAGTCAAGTGTTGAAGGCCATGCATGAGCCGGCCAAGGTGGGCTTGGAGTGTATGCCAGTGGTTTAACCCGCTATTGATTTGCTCTGTGTCACCTGCATTGAGATGTTTGGTGCCCACAGGCTCATTGTCAGTTTACAGATAACCTCCCTTGTAAAGCTTACAGCGCTGGACCGCATGCTAAGCACCTGGGCAATTTTTTGGCACCTCTTATGTTTGTCCTCTCTGCATCCTTTCAGGATGCTTGTGGGGTGACTACAGTAGGTGATTTTAGTGATGCACTGCTTTAGGCCTTTGTGCTGATGACCAGTGACCTTGGGCTTGTGATGTCTTGTTTAGTTCAGGCTTGTCAACAGGTCTGGTTGGCACAGTCTACCCTGACGGAAACATGTTGAATCATGATATACTTCATAGTATTCCTGTGGTATCAGGGGAACTGTTCGGTTCGGGGTCATTGCACCCTCTGCAGAGGGTAGCTTTGGCCTGGATGCCAGGGTGCACAGGTATTGCAAATCCGTTGTGACATGGTCGTGTGTTTATGCCCTGACTCTGTGGAGAGACAGGATTTATTTGTCCAGGGTTGTCCCCAGGGGAATGGTAGTGTGTCATAGAGAGGTAGTCAATATGAATGCCTGCTCCACAGGATAAGGGACTGTGTGGCAACGCAGAGCAGTACAGCAAATAATCTTTGTTTTGTTTCGGGAGGCACAGCRAGCTCTGAAACTAACACTTTCCTTGATAATTTCTTTTTCTAATCTAACCTTCTGGAGGGCGGACCATAGATTCTCTAAGCTTTTAGGAACTAACAGTTTCCGCCCGTCTCAACACACACTGAGAAAAGAAAGAGAGTAAAGGTGACTGACCGCCGTCAGTCACTGCGACAGCTAGATTCTCTCCGGGGAATCAAAAGCTGAAAACTGTGTCAGGTTTGGCCCCTTCACGCCAACGGGGAAACCTCACAGGTGTGGAAAACCAACGCCTGGTTTATCCACCTTCAGAAACTCTCCAGACGGAAGTTTTATTTACAACCTGGGTTCCAGTCGAGGCCTTGTCTTCTGGTTACGGCTGACGTGGACGTAAACGAGTCAAAGAGCACACCTTGGGGTCCCCTGTTCGACGGTCTAAAGACAGATTCTCCAGCAGCACCCCCATCTACCTGGCAGGTGACAGAACATCATCTCAAGGTAAAAGCTGGCTGTGTGTGACGTCGAGGTCTGACCAAAGCTGAGCACAGAGCGCTTCGCCCTTCTGGTTAAAACCCACATTATTTAAGATAAAAGTATAGAAAAGCTAACACCTTTCTTCAACCTTTTTCTTAACCTTGCCCTTGCCAACTCCTAAGATAAACAGCCTCAAATGTCTGGTATTTAACATCTAAGCTGACGTTGTGTTTCTATTTAAGTGTGGTTAACAATTAAGAAGTTAAAAGCTTGTTATTGTTGGTCCCAAAACTTTTTATAGGAAATTAATTATTCACAATCAGGTGTAATCTATAGTCAATTTTGTATGATTTGTAAAATAAATGATCACATATCATGGTTCAAATCAACATTCACTGACTGAGAGTTACTTTTTGTGTCCATTCATTCTTGCACTAAAGAAATGTTTATCCAAACATTAAAAGAGATCCTTGCTAATTAAATTACTCTTGTAACCTTGTTATGAGAAGTGTAAGCTGACCCTTACACACGTAAAGTCCCTTCTCCGTTTGCAAATCTCACGCTATTCGGTTCTGCTCAGGTGTGTGTGTGTCTCCATCTTAGTGTGTCTCTCATTCTGTTGGCATGATTGTGGATGGACCATCCACAGTGGCTTCAGCTGTTGTGGTTAAAAAAACATTGTGGTTTTACTGTTCAGACTTTATTTTATTTATTTATTTTTTTTGTTGCACTGTTTGTAAGTACTTGTGTAACTGTGGGCGGCCAGTTTGTCTGAAACCTTTCGGGATATCTGCTGATTTTAGGACGGCTTCGTCCAGCGCTCATCTCTTTCTTTCCAGGAAGTGTTTGCCTTTCTCAAGATCAACAAAAAGGTTTGCACCTCCAGGTTAGACCATAGTTTTATCACTGCTTTCATCATGCTGTATCTTGCGCTCGGATTACAAAACCAAAGTGTCTCTCTCCAGGAGAAATTTTGCAGGATAAGTTTGCACAAGTAATGCTTTTCCTTTGTCAATCAATCCAAGAGTTAATCCATGGGCAGCATTCTGCTGACGTCAAAATCATAAGCATGCTTTACTCAGTTCTACCCACTTAGAATCACCTCAGAGGTGGTCCTGAAGTGCACAGCTGTGAGCGGTTGTGCTCGGTTGGAACCGGAAATGGAGACAAATTGGCCGAGGAAGAATTGAGGAGCACCGCATACAGGCACGGGAGTGGAGATGGGGTTTAAATGTACTGGAGCTGTGTGCTGTACATTTGGCTGTCAGGCACTTTCTTCCCCACTTGSAGGGAAGGCATGAGCTAATTCTGTCAGACAACACCTTTGTTGTCTACCATATCAATCACCAGGGTGGCACCAGGTCAGCGCAGTTTCTGAAGGTGTCCAGGGATCTTCTGGAATGGTCCACTCCTGACAGCTGCAGCTTGTCCCTCAGAAGACCTGGCTGGATGGTGTTGAAAGCACTGGAGAAATCAAAGAACAAGATCCTCATGGGCTTCCAGGCTGCTCCAGGTGGGTCAGAGCTTGGTGCAAGAGATAGATATTGGTGTCATCCACCCTGATACCAGACTGGTGGGTTAAGTGTAGCAGATCCAATGAAAACCTCACCAGGAGGCATAGATGGTTGAAGACCAACCTCTCAAGGGTCTTCATTAGATGCAACATTAGGGCTACCGGCCAGTAGTTGCTGAGGTCCATAAGATGTTTGGTCTTTGGCACTGGTACCACACAGTGATCACTCTTTCAGGGGTGGAGATGTTCTCATCCTTGATAGAGGGGACGATGGAGTCTGCTGGTGGTAATGTGGAGGACATAGCAGGCTGCTGCAGCGTTAGCAGAGGGCAGGGCATACACATKAAAGAATTTTGTGCATGTAAACATAGCTACTGTAGAGTACTCTAAGGCAGTGGTTCCCAAACTTTTTATCTTCTGACCCACAAAATATCCATGGCAAAAACTTGTGACCCCAAATATTACTGGTCTGAGTACACCAACTTTGTTAATAACCCTAAAAACACAGGCTTTTGACAATCTAAACAGTTTGTACACAAATATAAATACTTATTTATACTTATTTTATGTTTTTGTAATAATTATAGGGAAAATATTACATCAGCAATTATTTTATTACCCTTTAAATTGATTTCTGGAGATTATCCTAGGTGCTTCATGACCCATAATTGGGTCCCAAGCCCAACTTTGGGAACCAAAGTGCAGTGGTTCCCAAACTTTTCAGCTTTTGACCCACAAAATAACAGTAGCAGAGACCTGTGCCCCCAACTGTTTTTGGCTGATAAACATTTGTATCAGGTCAACAAAACATGGGCATAGTAACAATATTTTTATACTACATTTATCCATTTTAAATACACTAACCTCACTCCTTTGTAACAACCAAGGCAAATATGTAATTAATTCAGAAAATCTTTTCAGGACCCCACCTTGAGACCCCAACTTTGGGAAACAATGTTCTAAGGAAATAAATCATAAAACACCCAGGTAAGACAGATAAGCCAATGAACTCCCACCACATGCTGTCACTGTACAGTTAGGGAGCTTCCATGGAAACATTCTTGCAACATGACAAAAACATATAAAAATTATTTAAATCAGTAAACTTTCTGGAACCATCCATTTTTCACATAACTAGATCTTAGCTTGGCTCTTCAGCACACTGGGCCCAGCTGCAGACGCATTAAAACTTGATGGCTCAGTGTTACTCACCTTCTTCTGCAGAGTAGACCACCACAGTCTGGCTGAACGGACCTTCTCCTCTCCGGTTATATGCTTTGATCTTCACTTCAAACGGGCTGTACGGCATCACGCTTTGGTTGAAGTAGACGAATCGAGATGAGTCCACATGTGGAATTCTGACTTCTGACCATGATGACGAGTCTTTCCTTCTGAATGCTAAAATGTAGCCGAAACCATCACCGTTCTGATACTCTCTGGCCATGGGCTGGAGGATTCAGGAAAAAAGAAATGTCAGCAATTAAACTGAAAGTTTACACATGTAGCAACTTCCATTGATTCCAGTCTTATATTAATAACATATGTGACCAGGTGAAAAATTGTGTACCTGTAAAATATATTTTTGTAAACTCTGTTTTCTTTTATTTCACCAGCTGGTTGTAATTCTTTTTTTTTTTTTTTGTCAGCATGTGATGCTGTTGTAAMAGAGAGGTCAAAAGGTACTGGAAGTTGAAAATACAAACCAACTGTTGTTCACGTATTCGGGTACTCTAAAGCCGGGTACACACCAAATGCAGTTTGAGCAGCCAGTTTACATGCAAAGTCTATGGTGGACACACATCTTGGAGCAGCACAGTGTGTTGCGGCGTGTTTTGGCAGTTTAGAGCAGCGCTCAACGTAGCAGAAGGATGCGGCAGAGCATTTTCCGTGCATGTGGCATGTCCTAAGCAGCGGCTGCTGGAGTCCAACAAATTGAACTTTGGCTGCTCGACGCGCAGCAGAAACCAATCGGGAGAGAATTTTTTTTCGCGTGACGGTTTCATGAACCCGACGCAGATGGACAGGAACCTTTTTAGCTGAAATCAACCATCTGCAGTTGGTATTCTGGCTGGACATAGCACTAATGTGATGAGACAGCAGCTCGCTGAGCTCGGGACAAAAGAAAAAAAAAGTCCCTCAGCTCGCAGCTCCTGGAGTGGCGAAACTAAACCGCCTCTAAATTATCTGGTGAATTAATTATCTGCTGTGCGCAATGCAATGTTTGCTTGCTCTTTAGTAAATAAAACAAAGCCATTTTATTTATTTTGTCTTTATTTCACCTGTCATTAAAGACAAACCGGAAAAAAAACAAGACCCTCCTGCCTCTCCTCTAATCTGGTCCCGGTCTGAAAAAAAAAAAAAAACAAAAATAAAGAAAGCTCGCAGGTCAGAGCGCCTCATCTGGTGAATTAATTATCTGCTGTGCGCAACGTCCGCTTGCTCTTCAGTAAATAAAGCAAAGTCATTTTATTTATTTTATCTTTATTTCAACCATCAACAGACCGGAGAACGAACAAAGACGCTCCTCCCATTGSACGTCTTCAGACGTGTTCGGTGTGAAGGGACATCTGTTGACAAGCAGCAAAAAGCATGCGGCAGGAGCATCTTTGCTGCTCAAGACGCGTTTGGTGGGAACCCGGCTTAACTGAGAGAAATGGAGGAGAAGGACATTTTTGAACTGATACCTATTGGAGAACGCAACTTTATGGTTACATAAGTGAAGAATCCAGATTTTCGGTAATTAATGTCTGAACTGCATTATTTTCTGTGTACAAAGCTGAAGTGATGTTGCTGACGTTACGTTTTTTTTGTCCTCTTTTAGAGATGCCACTGCCATATGTTTTAAACTGTTTTATTTCAGTTTACTGAGAAGCTGCATTTGCTACATCTCTGTTGAGTGCTAATAGTGCTGTTAATGCGCCTTTTTATTGAAGCTGTTGCTAGTTAGGAGCAATGTATTGATTTTTAACGTAACAAAATACTGTTTTTGCTCCACACTTTGAATCTTTTATTTTATTTTCTTTCCTCAACTTAGAGAATCGTATTTTTTTTGAGAATAAAGAACCCCTTTTATTTGAAGTTCTGTGTGTTCTATTTATCCCGGCTTCACGTGATAATTAGACTAACTCCTAAAAGAGTGATGCAATAATCACTTTTAGTTTTTGTATTAAAAATGTCTGAAAGAGTTTTTTGTTTTGACAAATAAAAACTAAAATGCAGAAATATGACTGAAAAAGAAAAATTTTATTATAGAATACTTTTAATTATCAGGCCAAATTGAAGGATAAACACTGGAAGTGTGAATTTTTTGTATAAATGTTGTGTTTTTGTTATTAAAATAATTTGAAACAATAAATGCTTTTAAACTGTTTTTCAGTAAACCATAGAAAGGAGAAAACTTAAGGTCTAGCATTCCTTGAAGCGATGCACAGTATATCTGGAACAATATGGTAACCGAGGCAAAAATCTTACACATCTATGTATGTACAGTACATACAAAAGTAGGGGTGCACCATTTTTCTTGCCGATCTCTTCAAMAAGTCTGATCTGCCGATTCCAATTTTGGCCGATACTGATATTTTAAATAGCTGAAACTGTCAGATGTTATAAAGCCACAATAAAACTTCAATGTTCAAATGTTATTTTACTGAAATACTTTGAACAGTACCCTTGAAACAATACAAACTTGTTTTAACTGGACATTAGGTAGTGCTCAGAGCAGAGCTAAAGAGGATAGTGGCTGATTTTCAGACCTTTGTGGAGGTAGAAAAGCTGATCTTCTTCTCGAATCTTATCTAGTAATCGGCTGATCTCACAAAAGTAAGGAAATTGGTGYGCCCCTAATAAAAAACATACCTCATACAGCCATGTATAGCATAGTCCAGGACAAACAAAGACCTTGTACAACCTTTAGGTTGTGACACATTTCTTCATGTTTGTGAAAAAGTTTGGCGTTTTCTTTGTGACAAATTTACAAAACAGTRCTCTCTTCAGTTAATAGCATCAATATTAGATTTATCTCCTCCAACTTCTTCATAATCAACAGAAAATAAACATCCACTTGCACCATGCTGTCTGTGTTGYTGCTGTTTGAAGGTGTTGCGCTGCAGCAGGGAGACTTGTCAGGACTTCTGCCCTGCAGTTTGTATTCAAGTTTGAACTGTCCATTTATAACAGACCAGCAAGATTTTAGATCTTTACGTCTTGTCAAGTATCAAAGTAAGCAGGCCTTAAGCCTGATACCCGGTCAGTTAGCCAGGCAAACAAAGACCCTAATGGATTTTTATAGGGAAAAGAGTGAGTTTAATCTGCAAGTAAATTTAGCTGCAAAAATGAAGCATCTCACACAGTTTAAAACATAGAACTCTACACTCTCCAGTTCTCAATTGACAAATACACTATATTACCAAAAGTATTATTCACCCATCCAAATGACTGTGCTCCAGTGCATAAAGCTAGGTCCATAAAGACATGGATGTAGAGTCTGGTGTGGATGAACTTGAGTGGCCTACACAGAGTCCTGACCTCAACCCCACAGAACACGTTTGGGATGAATTAGAGCGGAGACTGAGAGCCAGGCCAACATCAGTATGTGACCTCACAAATGTGCTTCTGGAAGAATGGTCCAAAATCCCCATAAACACTCCTAAACCTTGTGGACAGCCTTCCAGAAGAGTTGAAGCTGTTCTAGCTGCAGAGGATGGACCAACGTCATATTGAACCCTRTGGATTAGGAATGGGACGCCACTGAAGCACATATGTGAGTCAAGGCAGGTGAGAMGATACTTTTGGCAAAATAGTGTACCTTCAACTACAGAATAAAGTCCAGTAGCTTTGTTTTTATTATGTTCTGGACTGAGAATCTACACCAGTACAGGTCACTGTGAAGTCTCCACTCACCGTCCAGGTAACAATCAGTTCATGATGTTCTCCTCCTCCTCCACCAAGTCCACTTGGGGCCACTGTAGGAGCTGAGGGCCAAACAATGATCAGTTCAAGTAATAAAATCAGAAACATCCCTGGATGGTGCAGAAAATATTTAAATCCTTTAAAGAGGAAGTGCTACCACACAATAATTCTTTTCTCTTGGTTTTGTTTGTTTTTGTCTGACATTAAAATGAAGTCTAATAGGAAAATAATATTTTATTAAATTTATCAGTACATGTTTACTAATTCGAGGTGTAATTTAGAGGAAACCTGAGAAAGAAAGCTTCTCTCTCCTACAGGGAGCAGTTTTTATCACTGCTCTCACCATGTCACGCTCATTTTCCAAAACAAAAGCTGTGCTCTCCTTTCTTCTGTCCATCAATCCCAGAGCTGGGAATGCACGATATAAACAATATACGGTAGAAACGATATAAATTTGTCCTATGATAGAGATCTGTAGTCTACCGGCCAACTGCGCAATTCTTTTTTATGACGCAACCGGCTGGAGTCAAAACAGAGGAAGYGGGAAGCAGCGTGGCTRACAGCACAAATGAAGAGGGGGAAAAAAACATAACTTATCCAGACCTGGTTCAGGTGTGTGAAAATGAATGCTGAACTGTTTACATATTTATGTGACGGCGCGTCCTCCGGTCGGATGCTGGCCGACCACACTGCTGCGGGAGGAGCGAGCGCAGCAGCACATGGTGATGCAGCGAGGCGACAGTCAGTGCAGGTGCAGTAGTGCTCCAGGACTCACAGAAGCTCACCGAGTCTGGACCTCGTTTCTCCTGCGGTCATAGCGCGACGCCGCATGGCCGAATGTATGTATGTATGTATGTATGTATGTATGTATGTATGTATGTATGTATGTATGTATGTATGTATGTAT